TCGCAAAAAGTAAGTGCCAATTGGTGACAAAAATAGCCATGGCAGGAATTTTTTTTGCAACCACATGGTGGGAAAACTCCATATTTAAGACAGTCATGGTGGGAAAGCTCTATATTTGAGATAACGTTCATTGCTACCGTACTTGTAATGGCAAAACAATATTATCGCAAATATTCCACCTCAAAAACCACTTGAGGCAGCCTTCATTGCTGACTTAGAAAATGATTTTAAAATATAGCTATTTATAATGGCAAAACAATGCTGTGGCAAATGCTCCATCTCAAAAACCACTTTTTCTTGTAGTGGGTTCAAAATGTTACTACCAAAAACCAGTTAGCTGACATTTTTACCAAAGGCCTGCCTTCTGTCAGATTTATGCAACTTAGAGACAAGCTCATGCTAGGTTTACCCTTCATGAGCTTGAAGATGGCGGGGGGTATTAACACAGTTGCTCTCCTCCATAAGCAATGTAGTGCAGCTGAATCCAAGCTCACCAAGAACATACAACAACATCACTACTGTACTGGAGCTACACTGAAACATAGGTCATTGTCTCAGTGTAACAGAAGTGTGAAGACGTCAGGAAGATTCCTCTCACTTGCTAAGTCAGCTCAATTAGTTAGAGTTTTTTAGGATTAACTGACAGAGCTGGATATATTGATTCTGATTTGATTAAGATTTCACTTTGAGAGTAGCTTCTTCTCTCTCTTTTGTCTGCTGTGTTCTCTGCATTTTTACACCAATAGCATTACTCTTATATCAAACATGAAAAAGGAAATAAATGATTTTTTTCTTAAACAATATAAAGTGTATCAGTCTTACTTTTCATCCTTTTATCTTTTCATCCACCATACCAAATATATCATATGAGGTGTATGGTTTAAAAGCTTTAGCTGATAATTTGAAAGAAAGAATACATATATATAAAAATATCATATCTCTAGTATACAAAACTCGAGGATCCGAGAGATATGAAAGACGGTATATGCGAAAAATAGAGATTACAGTTTAACTACAATAACAGTTCTGTTACGGGAACAATATGGTAACACCCATATCCATATTTATTATATATAAGTGGACCATTCAGACTGAAAACACTGATCGCAAACAGGCCAGAGTAGACAGAGACTAAAATATCTTAGCAACGTCCTTCATTAGTCCCCTGTTGGCACGGTGAAACTCGGTAAATTCCTGGAATGAAATAAACCCATCGCCATCAGTGTCGATTTCAGTCATCATTCTTTGGATTTCATTCGCAGTAACGGAACCAAGTGTTTTCAAGGCCTCCCCCAGCTCCTGCGATGAGATTTTGCCATCACCGTTGGCATCGAATCGCTTGAAGATTCGTTCGCGTTCGGCCTGATCCTCGGGATTATCTGCCATTGTTGATTGTAATGCACTGCTGAAAGGTTTTTTCGGTGGGGGTGTGGTTTGGTATTGGATACGAGTTTCAGGTTGAAGGGTTTGGCTTATAAAGAGATGGTTTTCTAAACATGGTATGGACAACAGGTTTTGTAGGGATAAGTTTCGGATCAACCACAGACCAACTCTTACCTTTCTTACCATTTTTTTGAGGAAAAGGAAAATCACTTCCTTAACTAGAGGAGATAAAGAATTTTGACACCTCTCATATATGTGGAAATAATTTACTAATGTGTCTACGATTCCGGGTTTCAAACTAATCTCCTAGTCTGAAGCGATAACTCATTTTGAGGTTTTTTATACTTTTCTCTATTAAAATTTGAGTAATACTACGTAGACTTAAAAATTAGACTTAAAAATTAGACTTGATAATTACAACCATTGATTTCAGTGTGAGTCCTAACATTTATTGAGACTCATCACCTATTCAATGGTTGAGATTATCAAGTCTAATTTTTAAATTTAATTTTTAAGTTCATCTAACATTACTCTTAAAATTTCTCAGTCTCATTATTTAAGATTTAAATTACTATTTTTATATTGTTAAAAGATGATAGTTTGACTAAGCCAATTTTTTATAATGACCTATTCAATCTTAGGTAGGGTTTTATCCACTTTAATTTTAAAAAATCTTTTATCCGTAGCAAGTGTTATAAGTATATAATGCCCATAATTAATTATAATCGATGCATATAGTCTAAAAATAATTTGAAATCCTATGTCTTTCAGTATCTCAATCAAAAAAATGTTATTTAAGTGCTCAAGAGAGAGAGTTGAAGGTAGTTTCTAGTTCTACATTGTTTACACAAAAAAATACATTTGTCCTAAACTAGTTATATGTGAATTAGTGCCACATGCCAAGAGTGACTCCAATTCATTTTTCCTCAAGATAGATTATATGTGAATTACTGGTGGTGGCTGTGGGCACTAATAATCTGTAGGAGTGTCAATTGTGTCGGGTTAAACAGTTATGTGTTTAGTTAAACAGGTGGCGAGTGAAAAACATATAAACTCATACACGACACGTTTAATAAACGTGTAAAAAATTTTAACACGAACACGAACACGAACCATTTAATAAACGGGTAATACGACATTACTCGTTTAACATATTTTTAAAAAAAAAAAAACAAAAACCATATTATTTTAACAAATTTTTACACTCTATTTCTTTGTTTTCAACTGTACTTTCATCAATTGGAGGAGTTCCGGCCAACAGTTCACGTGAAAATCACACTACAAAGGTCAGCTAAAATGAGAAGCCCAATACCTTTTTTATCTAGGCAACTGAAGTCTCCCCTCCACTCCTTGTTGGTATGGGATTCAAAGAAAAGGGTCATAAGACAATTCAATGCCATACTTCACTTTCGTATTGATGTCCTTACTTTTTTTCTTTTTTTTTTCCTGAAATTTTTTCTTTACTTTTTTTTTCTTTACTCATTTATTATTTATATATATATATATATATATATATATTAAATTTATTTAAACGGATAAACAGGTTGACAGATCTCACTCAAACATGACCCGTTATTAAACGTGTTTGACAGATCAACTCATTTACCACCCAAACTTGTTAAGGTCTCACTCAAACCCGTTTAATTCGTGTCGATTAATCGTGTCGTGTTGAATTTTGACAGGCCTAATAATCAGTATGTGTATGTCTTGTGTGAACTCATTGCAGTTTATTTGCTATTCAGAGAAAATAGATTGGATGAGATCCAATCTTTTTGTTCAGAGGGAAATTAATGTGGTGTTTTACAAAAGTAAAAGTTGAATATTGAAGTTTAAGTATTAAATGTTGAATTTTTTAATTAGCAGATTGTTTGGTATCCACTGAAATTCAAATATAAGGAACTAACGTTTGATAATTATTATTATTCTAATTTTACCATTTTTTTTAACCATCTCACCGCAACTGCCTTATTCCTACTACTACTATCACAATAGTGGTGGTGGTGGTGGCGACAACACAATAATGGTGGTTGTGATACAATAGTGATAGTGGTGGTGGTAGCGAGACAATGGTGGTGGCGATGTTAATGGCACAATGATGGTGGTAACGGAAATACAATAGTAGTGGTGGCAGTAGTGGCAACAGTGGTGGTGGTGGTGGTAGTGTTGGTGTTTGTGGCGATTACACAATGGTGGTGGTAAAATGTAGTGAGGGTATATTTGTCCATTATAAAGGATTTATATAATCTTTACTGACTAAAATTTTTAACATGAAGTGATAAGTATGTCGCTTGCTACTTAAAATTTTACCCAATTTTTAAATAGTGCTTAAAATATTAAGTGTTATGAGTTTTAGTTTATCAAATGGATTCAATTCATTAACTGCTTAAAGTATTCAGTTTTAAATCTTAAATAGTATTATCAAAGAACCCCAAACAATATATGTTTACATTCAAATTTAATCATGATAAGTGAGACTCTGAATCTACTACACAAGAAGGTTCAAAATATGGATTCAAATTTTCGTTAATATTTTTTGTTCTCTATGTGTTTTTTTGACAGGTCATCCATTGTTATTGGGTGAGGGACCCATTTACGTATAATTGGTCCCACTTGAATTCGTTGTAAGTGATCCCTCAAGAAGAAAAATTAAGAGAAAATATATTGGAGATGATCTCACTCTTAAAAATATTAGCTTAAAATCTGGAACCATTATGTAAGATTAGCTTGTTGACATTCAAAATTCCAATGGCTTACTTTGTTGGTGAGTTTGGTGAGAATGATGAAAATAGGAAGAATAAAAAAGTAGGAGGGATGAACTTCTCATCCATAGAGGAAGAAAATACTATTTTTCTCTTTTTTGTTTGGTATGATGGATAAAAAATTAGAAGGATAAACTTTCTAATATTGTTTGGTATTGGAGGAAAAACAAATTGGAAGGGAAAAAATAAAAAATGTAGTATGTTATTATACCTGATGGAGTTCTTAACACGATTGAGCAGTGATATGAATGTAAAGTGTACTGAACAGTTGAATTCAATTTAGTTTGAGCTCCAAAGCTCTAGGGAATAGGATTTAGGGATAGTGGATGATTACGTAGAGTGTTTGTAGTGGTTCACTAGCTCGGGAGCTCAGCTAATTCACTCTCAAAGGAGTCTCTTGCTTCTAAATATATTGATTACAGTGGAGTTTATAGAGAGTGTTTTTGTAAGGCTACAATGGCTTGGTTTTTACTTTTTAGGGCCTTGTCTCCTATTTATAGCTATTCCTAAGCCTTGCTTGATTTGAGACGAGATCCTAGCTCCTCCCTTGTAACAGTCACCCTTCTTGCACAATGAGACTTGTTCTTGTTGGGTGATTGATGCCACCAAAAAAAAAAGGGACTTGGTGGGATCCAGTTATCCTTTGCACAACCTTTCTCAAGATATGGACACAGGGAGTTGAGGTTTGAGGTCAAGGTCTGTAAATAATATTAATGAGTTGAGCTCTCANAGATTGTTTGGTATCCACTGAAATTCAAATATAAGGAACTAACGTTTGATAATTATTATTATTCTAATTTTACCATTTTTTTTAACCATCTCACCGCAACTGCCTTATTCCTACTACTACTATCACAATAGTGGTGGTGGTGGTGGCGACAACACAATAATGGTGGTTGTGATACAATAGTGATAGTGGTGGTGGTAGCGAGACAATGGTGGTGGCGATGTTAATGGCACAATGATGGTGGTAACGGAAATACAATAGTAGTGGTGGCAGTAGTGGCAACAGTGGTGGTGGTGGTGGTAGTATTGGTGTTTGTGGCGATTACACAATGGTGGTGGTAAAATGTAGTGAGGGTATATTTGTCCATTATAAATGATTTATAAAATTTTTACTGACTAACATTTTTAACATGAAGTGATAAGTATGTCGCTTGCTACTTAAAATTTTACCCAATTTTTAAATAGTGCTTAAAATATTAAGCGTTATGAGTTTTAGTTTATCAAATGGATTCAATTCATTAACTGCTTAAAGTATTCAGTTTTAAATCTTAAATAGTATTATCAAAGAGCCCCTAACAATATATGTTTACATTCAAATTTAATCATGATAAGTGAGACTCTGAATCTACTACACAAGAAGGTTCAAAATATGGATTCAAATTTTCGTTAATATTTTTTGTTCTCTATGTGTTTTTTTGACAGGTCATCCATTGTTATTGGGTGAGGGACCCATTTACGTATAATTGGTCCCACTTGAATTCGTTGTAAGTGATCCCTCGAGAAGAAAAATTAAGAGAAAATATATTGGAGATGATCTCACTCTTAAAAATATTAGCTTAAAATCTGGAACCATTATGTAAGATTAGCTTGTTGACATTCAAAATTCCAATGGCTTACTTTGTTGGTGAGTTTGGTGAGAATGATGAAAATAGGAAGAATAAAAAAGTAGGAGGGATGAACTTCTCATCCATAGAGGAAGAAAATACTATTTTTCTCTTTTTTGTTTGGTATGATGGATAAAAAATTAGAAGGATAAACTTTCTAATATTGTTTGGTATTGGAGGAAAAACAAATTGGAAGGGAAAAAATAAAAAATGTAGTATGTTATTATACCTGATGGAGTTCTTAACACGATTGAGCAGTGATATGAATGTAAAGTGTACTGAACAGTTGAATTCAATTTAGTTTGAGCTCCAAAGCTCTAGGGAATAGGATTTAGGGATAGTGGATGATTACGTAGAGTGTTTGTAGTGGTTCACTAGCTCGGGAGCTCAGCTAATTCACTCTCAAAGGAGTCTCTTGCTTCTAAATATATTGATTACAGTGGAGTTTATAGAGAGTGTTTTTGTAAGGCTACAATGGCTTGGTTTTTACTTTTTAGGGCCTTGTCTCCTATTTATAGCTATTCCTAAGCCTTGCTTGATTTGAGACGAGATCCTAGCTCCTCCCTTGTAACAGTCACCCTTCTTGCACAATGAGACTTGTTCTTGTTGGGTGATTGATGCCACCAAAAAAAAAAGGGACTTGGTGGGATCCAGTTATCCTTTGCACAACCTTTCTCAAGATATGGACACAGGGAGTTGAGGTTTGAGGTCAAGGTCTGTAAATAATATTAATGAGTTGAGCTCTCAACCTGAGTAGCATGACCTGGGTTATCGAGCTCATCCTTAGGTATTTGTGGTTCCATCAATTCTCCCCTAG